AATCCAACAGGCTAGAAGAGAACACTACCAAAAATATCGGTTGATCCAACACAATCTTCAATCATGGGATTGACTTCTCTTACATTGAAAACTTTACTTAGATTGTATTGTTTGGGTTCATGGGCCGGTCATTGGTCCCGTTTCAATAATTTAAACTGTTCATTTTATAAGATCGTTTATGTATATCATTCATAAAAAAAAATTAGGTCGATCGGATAATCATAACATTATCATTTTATCGCATTCATCTCCAAAAAATAGACGGTGTATTTTAAATTAAAAAAAAAAAACTATTTTAAAAAACACACTAGAAATTACAATTATAAGATCGATCTAATTTTTTTCATATATGATATATAAACGGCCTTACAAAATAAACAGGTTAAATTATCAAAACATAACCCACACCAAATCCCACATAACCAAACAACACGATCTAGTTGAGATCTCAACTAGAGAAGCTAATCTCAATTTGTATATCCATTGAAAAGTTTTAATGGGATTGCAAAATGTTTAAAAGTTAAATGCTAATTAATTTGAGTGACCATTTAAAAAAAAAAAATTAATGAAAGTATAAGGAGTTGACTTTGCAGCCCCAAACAGGAGGAATTATCCTACCTTTCAGAAATTCTAATTAGGTTGTGTACCGTTTTAATTCTATTGATTGTTTATGTAATCTATAGGAGAAAAAATAGGAAATAGCACGTATGTAAATAATACAATTATAAGGGCATACCACGTAGGATATATAGGACAGACCTATGTGATAATTTTTCTCAAACTAGAAGAAAAATTAAAAACTGGAAAAGAACATACTACTTTCACCTATCTGTTTAAAATAGTTGAAATCCCCAGCATGGTTGCAAAATTAACTCTATAATATCTATTCATTTTTTGGTACTTCAGAGGTTGCTCGTAAAGATGCCTATTTATTCAAGCATAAATGCAAGGAGAATTTTATGGTACCCACCTGTGTGGGTGATTTTCCGACCACACTGCCCGCTTAGTAACCAGCTGGAGAGCACTGGCAGAATAGATGGCACCTGACTGACCTGTAACAGAAAGATAAGAATCCCGCGGTGGTTTCGACCACCCGGGGGCACTCCGACGATCAAGTCAGTATATCTCTCAAAGATAAATCAAGTATTAAACTGAATACTCAGAATATAAATTACATACCGTTAGACCACGGGGGTGCCTCTGCTTATAATATTCTTCAATCCGAAGTCCCACTAGAAGTATGACTTCTATGAACTCCAATTTACATGGTTTACTCCTGGACTCTAAGAGATAAAGGAATAAACTCCTAATAGGTTTATGCTATCTTGTTAAGTCCTCTCGTTTGCTTTAGGATCTTGCCCCTTATCTCGATTCCGATATCTTCGGAGATGACCTCCGGCTTCTCCGAGATTACCGTGCGGCTCTAACTAACAGGGAGTGGCGCGTCGGCTGACCGTCGGCGTCACCATGCACGTGTTGGTAAGAGAGATAAACTACCAATGCTATTACATGCACAGAAGCAAACATCACGCTAGGCAATGCATCCATATGTATGATTTAATATTCTACCTCAAAACCAAAAAAATTCCTTTGAAAGGTGAATGCTTACGAAAATAATAACTACGAAAACAATTAAGTGTAGCAATGGCTTGATTCACCCCAAGCATAGCAGAGGTGCACTGTTTTCCCTTCCGTTTTTTTTTTTCTTCCTTCAATTCTTTGTAGTTAAGTGTTGGAAATATTGAAATAGGTAATACTAGAATGAAGACGTGATGGTCATATGTTAAAAGATGCAATTTGATGCAACCTCCATATAAAATTATAATAACAATGAAAAGAGTTCATTCACAAATGAAGGAAAAAAAGTTTATTATCAAACAAACCAGATCTTGTTCTGATAGAAACCATTCAGAACTGATTTAAATCACCCCATTCAGATTACCAAAAACAAAATTTCCAATAAACTGAATTAAATATTCTGATCAGCAAGAACATAATATTTTTATGGAAAAAATTCCATAACATTGCGAAAGAGATGCGGCAACTGGCAAATATAGGAGATGATTAATAAAATAGAATGCATCTCCGAAAGACTTTAGAGAACATCAAGGAAGATATATTTCTCAAATAAGCAAAAAGATCAATAATTGCACCCAGTCTTAAATGCACACGAGGGAAAACTAAGAAATGCGACCCATGATTAAAACCCCCCCAAAAAAAAAAAAACTAAGGTCAAGGACAAAGGATGAATGTAGCTGATCACAAGTACATAGAAAATAAAATCCATTTTAAATCTTGAAGAAATCTTTACTCAAAACCATAAAAATTCCAAAAGCAAAAATAAGGTCAAGGACAAGGTTTGGACCTATATTAAGTACTCAACATTGTTACAAGGCATCCAAAA